TAATTGAAACTTTGTAGCCTTGAGTGGAGCTAAGAGCCAGCCAGGGCAGGCGGGAAGCTTGGCTTCCTCCATCGCCAGGGGCAACCCAAGCCTCCTGCTCGCTCCAGCTCCGTGGCCACAGCCGGCTGAAAGCAGGTATCTGGGGTTTATTTGTCTTCTATAATTGAAACCTTGTTGCCTTGAGTGGAGCTCAGAGCCGCCGTGGCAGGCGGGAAGCTTGGCTTCCTCCATCACTGGGCAACCAAGCCTCCTGCTCGCTCCAGCTCCATTGCTGCCGGCCGCCATCTTAGTTGGGTTAATTTGCATATAGTCGCTCTGATTGGCTGGTGGGCGTGGCTTAAGGCATAGCAAAGATATGGTCAATTTGTATGTTTGTCTTTTATTAGTGTAGACTAGAGGCCCGATGCACGAAATTCATGCAAGCGTAGGCCTTCCTTCCCCCAGCTGCCGGGACCGGCTTCCCTCTTGCACCTGGGACCTGGGCTTCCCTCGCAGTGCGGGCTTCCTCTGGAAGGACATCTGGTCTAATTAGCATATTACACTTTTATTATTATAGACTAGAGGCCCGATGCACGAAATTCATGCAAGGGCCTTGGCCTCGGCCACCGCCCGCTGCGGCAGGGGGCATCTGCCACCTCTGCCATGGCCCCCGCCCACTGCAGCTTTGTCCGAAAGGACGTCCAGTCTAATTAGTATATTACACTTTTATTATTATAGATAGTTGTTATACAATGTTATATTATTGGTTGTATTATAGTTTCAGGTATACCATACAGTGATTTGATATTTTTTTCATCTTACAATGTAATAATCCTACTATTTCTAGTAATCATCTGTCACCAAGCAAACTTGTAACAGTACTATTAACTACATTACCCCACCTTTTCATCCATCTCCTCACCTCTTCCCCTTTAACCCTTTGAGTGCCAACCAATATCCTAGGAACTATGCTAAAATTGCCAAGGCATTTTTGCTGATTTTACAGCAGTTTAGAAAAAAAAATATAAATCACAAGTAAATGAAGTTACATATTCAAAAACTTAAGGAAACCTTTACTACATTTGTTTTCATCTTTGACATATATTGTTTGCTGATTGTATTATAAAATACTAGTAGAAAAAAAAAAACTGCAGGAGCGCAATAGCACTCCCGGCACTTTTGGTGAAAGACAGGAGGAGCGCGATCACGCTCCCCGGCACTCAAAGGGCTAGTAACCATCTCTTTGGTATCGGTCTACATGAATCAGACACAGCACAATAAATACCATATAGTCTCACTTATATGTGGAATCTAAAAATAAAAAACAGAGGATTAAAAATGGCAGTGGAGTAAGTGGAAGCAACACTGACACTCTCCCAGGACAAAACTGGAAATACAACTGAAATGCAGAAAAACAACCCTGACAAATCAACTGAGGACTAGCTGGAGAGAACCCTGATAACCAAGGACAGAAAGTGGAGACCTCACCGAGACTGGTAGGAAGTGCAAAGACAGAAAGTGGTGGCTGGGCTCCCACAGACAGCAACTGAAGTTCCAGAGGGATATCTCAGCTATGGGGAGGTCCCACTGAGAACTCTAGGGTCTAATCCCCAGGCTGGATGCCCCAGCAGAGAGCACCAGAACTGAGAAGGGTACCCACATAACATCTGGCTGTGAAAAGCAACTGGGCTGCTTTTCAGGGAGAGATGGCTGGAAATACAGGTGCCTTCTTAAAGGGCCAATACACAAAATCTCATGTCAGCCACTCACCTTGGGCTCCAGCAGAGAGAGGGCAGAGTGGACTGCAGCCGTGTGAGGAGAGTCCACGGTTGGGGGTTCTGGGTTTGCAGCACTGAGGGCAGCCACCACGGTTTCCTGTGCTGAGTCCTTCCCTCACGCTGTGGACATCTTTCGCCCAAGGATCTTTGCACTCCAGGTGGTTTCTGATTGGGAGAAAGGCAGTTGCCCCATGCTATTGGAAGACCTCTTCCCCACTCTGTGGTTGATAGACTGAGCACAATCAAGGCTGAGAGCACTCAGAGTGCAAGATGGAGGTGGATCTCTGGAGGTTTTGAATGTTTGCCTGATCTCCTTCTGGGCCCTGGGCTAGGTAGGCAGACCCTGGTACACATCCTAGTCCTTTCCAAAGGCACCCAGACCCAGCAGAGGAGCCACAGGCTGTGTATTGCTGATAACTCCAAACAGGGTACTCAGGGCCAATCAGAAACAAAGTCTGACATTGTCCTGCACTAGACATTAGAAGTACTAGCAGATCTACATACTACATAGACACAAACCCAAACAGGCAGCCAAAATGGGGAGATAAAAAATGAGCCCCAAATGAAAGAGCAAGCTAATTCTAAGAAGAAGAGATAAGTGAAATAGAGATAAGAAATTTATCTGATATAGAGTTCAGAATAATGGTGGCAAAGATGCTCAACAGCATGAGAAAAGACATAGTAACTATGTAACAAGAACAGTCAGAAATAAAGAATGACATAGCACTAATAAAGAACACAATGAAAGGAATACACAGCAGATTGGGAAAAGCTGAGGATCGAATCAGTGAATTAGAAGACAGAGTGGGGGGAAAAAATCAATCAAAAAACCAAAACCAAAAATAATTAAAAAATAGGACAGCTTAAGGGAACTATAGGACATGAAACAGAACAATATTCACCTAAGTGGAGTACCAGAAGGAGAAGAAAAGAGCAAGTGATAGAGAACATGTTTGTAGAAGTAATGGCATAAAACTTCCCTCACCTGGTGAAGGAAAAAGTCACACAAGTTCAGGAGACACAAAGAGTCCCATGCAAGAAGAACCCAAACATGCCCACACCCAGACACACCATAATTAAAATGCCAAAAGTTAAAGACAAAGAGAAAGTCTTAAAGGCAGCAAGAGAAACGCAATTTGTTATCTACAAAAAAACTCCCATAAGGCACTCAGCTGATTTCTCAACAGAAACTCTATAGGCCAGAAGGGAATGGCATGAAGTATTCAAGTAATGAAAAGCAAGGATCTGAAACCAAGATTACTATACCCAGCAAGGCTATCATTCAAAATAGATGGTGAAAAAAAGAGCTTCCCTGACAAAAAAGGCTAAAGGAGTACATCACCACCAAGCCAGCATTACAAGAAATGCTACAGGACTGCTGTAATGAGAAGAAAAGAGAAAGAGAGAGAAACATAGGCATACAGAATTAAAACAGCAATAAATAAGTACCTTTCAATAATAACCTTAAATGTAAATGGAATAAATGCTCCAATCAAAAGATACAGGGTAGCTGAATGGATAAAGAAAACATGATCCAATTATATGCTGTCTACAAGAGACATACCTGAAAACAAAAGACTCACAGGATGAGAGTTAAAGGATGGAAAATAATTTTCCAATCAAATGGGAATGAAAAAAAAAAAGTTGGGGTAGCAATACTCATATCTGACAAAATAGACTCCAAAATGAAGGCCATCACAAGTGAACACTAAGGTCACTACATAATACTAAAGGGATTGACCCAACAAGAGGATATAACCCTGGTAAACATATATGTACCCAAAATAGGAGCACCTAAATATATAAAACAACTTCTGAAGGACTTTAAGGAGACATCCTATATAATAAAAGGGTAACATGCAAATTGACCCTAATGGTGGAACGACCGCTTGCTATGACACGCACTGACCACGAGGGGGCAGACACTCAATGCAGGAGCTGTCCCCTGGTGGTCAGTGCGCTTCCACAGAGGGAGCGTCGCTCAGCCAGAAGCCAGCTCATAGCTGGCCAGCACAGCGGCAGTGGCGGGAGCCTCTCCCGCTTCCGCAGCAGCACTAAGGATGTCCAACTAATGGTTTAGGCCCGCTCCCCAGGGGAGAGGGCCTAAGCCTGCAGGTGAACATCGCCCAAGGGGTCCTGGACTGCAAGAGGGCGCAGGCTGGGCTGAGGGATCCCCCCCTCCCAAGTACACGAATTTTCATGCACCAGGCCTCTAGTAATCATAGACTTCACTGGATACATCCCCCAGACAAAAAAATCAACAGTGAAACAGTGACTCTAAGTGACACACTGGATCAGCTAGATTTAATTGACATTTATAGAACACTAGTGACCCAGTGCACAGATTCGTGCACATTGAAAGGAAATTAATTAGTTGGTGGCCAGTGGGGCGGGACTGGGCAAGACGGGCCGGACACGCCCTGGAGCCAACCTCCCGCAGTCCCTCCCCGGTGTCTGTGGAATAAGCGGGGTTCTGGCAGGTGGGGTTCCTTGGCCTGGTCTGCAGGGATCAAGCCAAAACCAGCTCTCCAACATTCCCCGAGGGGTCCTGGAGTGCAAGAGGGCACTCTGCAAAGTTGCTGTCGTACAGGGTGCGGAACGCAAATGCAAGTGTGCAGTAAACCAGATTTGGGGCCCACAGTGCCCCAGCAACAACATAACCCACGGTCGAAGGTTTTGGGGTGCGGTACCCGACAACCATCACTGCCAAGTCACTGCAGCTCGCAGCTCCTGTATTGAGCGTCTGCCCCCTGTTAGTCAGTGCGCATCATAATGACCAGTTGGACGGTCAGACACTTGGCATATTAGCCTTTTACATATATAGATTTCACCTCAAAGAGGCAGAATATACATTCTTCTCAAGGGCACATGGGTCATTCTCAAAGACAGACCACAAGTTAGGACACAAAAGAAGTCCCTATAAGTTCAAGAAGACTGAAATTATTTCAAGAATCTTGTCATATCACAGTGGAATAAAATTAGATATCAAATACAGTAAAAACACCCAAAATCATTTAAACACATGAAGGCTAAACAGCATGTTATTAAACAAACAATGAATTGGTTACCAACCAGATCAAGAAAGAAATCAAAAACTTCCTGGAAACAAATGAAAACAAACACACAACAACCGAAAATCTCTGGGATACAGCAAAAGCAGTCGTGAGTAGAAAGTTCATTGCACTACAGGCCTACCTAAAAAACAAAACAAAACAAACAAACAAACAAACAAAAAAACACACCACAAAAATTAATAATAAACTATTTAACCCTACAACTTATAGAACTAGAAAGAGAACAACAAGAAAAGTCCGGAGTAAGTATAAGGGAGGAAATAATAAAGATTAGAGCAGAAATAAATGACATATAGACCAAAAAAAATACAAAAGACAAATGAAGCCAAGAGCTGGTTCTTTGAAAAGATAAACAACCGGAGTAAGAAGGGAGGAAATAATAAAGATTAGAGCAGAAATAAATGACATATAGACCAAAAAAAATACAAAAGACAAATGAAGCCAAGAAGAGGTTCTTTGAAAAGATAAACAAGATTGATGAACCATTAGCCAGACTCATCAAGAAACAAAGAGAGGAAACCAAGATGGCGGCATAGGTTAACGCCGGAGTTTGCTGCCTCGAACAACCACTTCAAAAATACAACTAAAAGACGGAACGGACATCATCCAGAACCACAGGAAGGCTGGCTGAGTGGAAGTTCTACAACTAGGAGGAAAGAG